TTGATGTGCAAATATTTCTAAGGAATGATTAGGAAGTCCCGATTGTTTCAGCAGTAGTAAACAGTCCACAAATGCTGAAACGGATGTTGTCAAGGGAGATACTGGTGCCGAGATGACCGAATAGAAATTTATTTCTATAAAAGTCAGTCTAGCTAAGACTTTCCTGCTTTGCAGCAGAAAATTCTGAATTTCAGCTTAACAGTTTCTTGTGGTGAATGTCAGCCAGCTGGCATAGCATTTGACTGTTGTGCTGTGCAACTGTATTGGGCAGAACGGGCAAAGTGATCAGCAACTTCCACTGAACTCACCAGATCTGAATTCCAGAACTGCCTGGCCTCTGCTGGGGTTATCATGGTCTTCAATCCAGCATCTTGCCTAAATTCCTCAAGACCATTGCTATCATAGAAATTGGGGGAATGCCGGGGGAGGCACATATACTTTAGTTCCAGTGTCTAGGGAACAGACCCATTGACATGGGTGATAAAGGAGGAAGTTGCCTCCTTTGTCCGGAGATTCAAAGGGAACCAGGGCTCCCAGCCTCTGTTGCACCTATGGCAGCGGCAGGTGCCCCGGGCCCTTTAGATCGCCACCAGAGTGCTGCTCCATATGGCGTGACAGAGTCACCCTCCAGGCACTGAGAGCTGGCTGTCCTTGGCCCCACCCCTTCTGCCCAAGGCCCCATACCTTCTGGGAATACGGATTGAGGACCTCCCCTCACCTTACCCGGGGCGGGGGAGAACAGAAGCAGTTGGCCCCCTGAAAAGTGAATTAGAAGTAGATTTGTGCTGCTGAGCTATTGAAGGTCCAGAGTGTGAGGCTAACAAATTTGTCTATTGAGAAAATATTGGGAATAAAAGTACCCTTGAACTGTAATGACTCCTCTTTCATTGCTCTAAGAGAAGGCCACCTGTGCTTTCATGTTATCTTGTAGTGGGATCCTTAAAGAGGGATGGGGAAAATGGATGTGGTATAGGAAAGGGTTAGAATTTCATTATCAATTTCTGATAATCTATTGGATTTACTGGTCTGTGGTGATCCAATCCAGGAGCCCCTTTTCTGCCCTCATCCAAATAAAGAGAGTAGGAAAAAGTGAGGGAAAAGGGTAGAGAGCTTCTATAAGTTCTGCCACTCTCTTAAACGTGGCATGAAACCTGTTATCAATAGGAAGAATGCATCACATCTAAGGAAGAGGCAGTGCATCCTCTGCATAGGAACCTGTGCATCTTCCTTGGAGGCTCCAATGGATTACAATAAAATGGAATGGAGTTTTGAGGTCTGGCTTGTTTCCTCCAGGGGGTGGAGGAGTATACAACCTATCCAATAAGTTTTTGGAGTGCATTGGAGACAACTTTTTATTTCAGAAGGTTGAAAAAGCTACCAGAGGGGAAGCTGTTCTAGATTTGATCCTAACAAATAAGGAGGAACTAGTTGAGAATTTGAAAGTGGAAGGCAGCTTGGGTGAAAGTGATCATGAAATCACAGAGTTCACAATTCTAAGGAAGGGTAGAAGGGAGAACAGCAAAATAGAGACAATGGATTTCAGGAAGGCAGATTGTGGTAAGCTCAGAGAGCTGATAGGTAAGGTCCCATGGGAATCAAGACTGAGGAGAAAAACAACTGAGGAGAGTTGGCAG